GCAGAAGTGCTGGGGTTTGGCACAGTCCTGTCCCTCTGTGCCTCCTGCCTGTGGGGCTGCTGGAGCCAGGATCCAGAGTTCCTCTGCTGCAGTCTCACAGCCCCTGTGCCAGCTGGGCCGGGGTGTGTAGAGGGACCTTGGCTCCCCCTATGATACCTGTGGGGTGAGAAGAGCCTGGGACAGGCTGGGATGGATGCATACTGTTCTGTCCTGCTCCCCCATCCTGTCTTATCTCCCCCCAGCTGAGGCCGAGGACATCAAGGTCTGTCCTCGCTGCAGCGCCTTCATCATGAAGATCAACGATGGGAGCTGCAACCGCATGAACTGCACGGTCTGTGGCTGCCTCTTCTGTTGGCTCTGCCTGCAGGAGATCTCTGACGTGCACTTTCTGAGGTCAGTGCAGGGCCATAGGGCTAAGGGGCCCGGACAGGAGCTGGGGGCGGGGGGGGGGTCTGTGGGACTGCACTGGGCTGAGGCTGGGAGCCCTGATAGGATGGGATGGGGGCATCCAGGTCCTGCCCCAGGTTCAGGGTTAGCCAGGGGGAGCAGAGTGGTCTGTGCTGCTGGGTCTGGCAGGGCTGGGGCTGGCTGCTGGCACCCTGTAGGAGGCAGCTGGAACTCAGGGTTGGGGGAACCTGGCTGCCTGCTCTCTGGTGGGTTCAGGGATGTCCCCTGACATGGGGCCAGGTCTCTGCCTGCCACTTGCAGAAGCCTTGGCTCAGCTCTGCTCTGTCCCCACAGCCCCTCTGGCTGCACCTTCTGGGGGAAGAGGCCGTGGTCACGGACCCGGAGGATCCTGTGGCAGCTGGGCATGGTGCTGGGAGCGCCCATGGTCATCTCCCTTGCTGCGGGTGTTGCTGTCCCTGTCATTACCATTGGGATCCCCATCTACATGGGTAGGAAGGTACTGGCAGGTGGTTTTGGAGTCCCTGTGGTCCTGCTGAGTCTGATAGCCCATGGCTCTTGGGCTGGACAGACCTGCAGTGCTCCCTGCTGCCCACAGCACATCTCTGTGCCACCCCTGACTACCCTCAGCACGTCCCTGTACCACCCACAGTGCTGCCTTGCCAGAACCTTCTGCTGCCCCCCGCAGCCCCTGCCAGTGCGGGTGTGCTCAGCCTGGGGAGCGGGATCAGGGTGGGTGAAAGGAGGGAGGGTTCTTGGGGGGCTTTCCAGGATCACCTGTGCTGTGGTGGCAGTGCTGTTGTGGCTGCCTGTCCCTGAGAAGAGGGAGGGGTGTCTGGATAGCTGTGGCTGGAGCTCTGCCAGGCTGAGTCCCTGGGGCTGTGCCGAGGTCTTTGTAGAGACCTTCACCTTTCTGTCTTGTCCCTGAGGTGCTGGGCCAGAGCCGGCGAAGCAGCCTCTCCGGGTGCCAGCAGTGCCTCTCTGTCACCAGCAGCGTCCTCCTGTCTCTCTTTGTGTCCCCTATCATAACAGCTCTCACTGTGGGTGAGTGCCCAGGGCACTGCCCGTGCTGGGGGTGGGACTGTGGCTGATGTCTGGGACCAGAGGCAGCAGGGCTGGGGCTGGGCAGTGACCACTTGTCTGCCCGCAGGCGTCGGTGTGCCCCTGGTGCTCACCTACGTGTATGGGACCGTGGTGCTGTCGCTGTGCCGGAGCCGCTGGGGCTGCAGGGCCGGCCGCACGCCTGGGGACCTCGGCGCGGTGGAGCTGGACAACCTGGCCAAGTGTGGGTCCCCCACAGCTGGCAGGCCTGGCCCGTGCCCTCCCTGCTCCAGCAAGGGGCAGTCCGTGGGAACGGCGTGTTCTCTCTCCCCAGTGAACGAGCTGTGGTCGGTGCTGCCCAGTCCCAGAGCGGGTGAGGACGGAGCTCTGGACCCCACCGCCTCCCTCCCCAGCAGCAGCCGCAGTCCACGCCCGGGGCCGGCGTGGCCAGAACAGGACAACCAGTCAGCCAGCACAGTGGCCCTTGCGGGGAGCATGCTGAGCGAGGGCCAGGACGCCTCTGACAGGTAGGCAGGGTGGCGGTGCTGAGGGGGCTGGGGAGTGGCACATCCCTTCCAAACAGCGTCCCCTGCTCCTGCTCCCCTTTGGGCTGCTGCCCTCAGGCCAGTGTCTGTTCACAGGGAAGGTGTCACCATCGAGGTGGAGGTGTCCGTGGAAGCGGTGCCACGTTCTGCTCGGCAGCAGAGCCTCAGCAGTGCCCTGTCTGGGCAGAGCCTGTCTGGGGACTCCCTGGGAGCCACCAGTGACAGGGGCAGTTCTGTGGGTGTCCCTGTGGAGTGATGGAGGCCTGAGGGGGAGAGTCATGATCCACACACAGGCCCTATGCCCTCCTGTGGCAGAGCCAGTCCCCCTCTGCCAGCACACCCAGCCCTGGGAGCTGGGTCCTGGGTGGGTGCCAACTGCCCCCAGCACTGCTGCACCCTGCACTAGCCCTGTCTGCCCCTTTCCCAGAGGCACCACTAGGAAATAAAGCTGCTTACTGAGGGTCCCTCTGTCTCCTGTAGCAAAACTCCCCTGAGAGCACAGCCCCCTGGCAGCCCAGTGGTGTGCACAACAGGCATCACGTCTGTGCAGGTGTGAGGAAGAGGCCACCCAGGCCATGCAGGGGTTATTGTGGCCTTTCCCTGCCTGTATCAGCTCATCTGCCCCAAGAGCAGGCTGCAGGGTTAGGGGAGGGCAGCAGCCCCCCAGCTTCCATCTCTGGTGCTGGTCCCCACAGGATCCATCCTGCAGCAAGGCCAGTGTGGAGGGACCACCATGGACTCTAGGTGGGGACCTATTGCCAGATGGGTTGTGTAGTTCAGGCACTGGGATCCTTGCTTCTCAGACTCCACTGCAGCATCCTGGGGAAAAAAAGCTGCTCCTGAATGTTTTGCTGCTCAGAGTTGGGCAGTCACAGAATGAGTAAAGAATGTGGGTTGGAAGGGAACTTAAAGCTCATTGCTGTCCCTTGCCATGGGGACTATCCACTATCTTCCACTATCCCAGGTTGTTCCAGGCTTCATCCAGCCTGGCCTTGAACACTTCCAGGGATGGGGCAGCCACAGCTTCCCTGGGCAACCTGTGCCAGGGCCTCATTAGGGAAGGATTTCTTCCCAATATTCCATCTAATCCTGCCCTCTGGCAGTGGGAAACCATTTCCCCTTGTCCTGTCCCTCCAGCTTTCTTGGAGCACCTTTAGGCACTGTGACTCTAAGGTCTCCCTGAATCCTCTCCTCCAGACTGAACATCCCCAGCTGTCCCAGCCTATCTCCATGGGAGATGAGATTTGTGAGTTGGCTCACCTGGACAGCTTCCTCCAGCTGCTCCGGGACTCCCACGTGATGGGGTTGTGCCTTTGGCAGTGCCTTGCACTGCAGATCTTCCCTTTTCGAAGATGAACTCCACCCATCTGGTCCTGGGCTGTTGTCTTGGCTTCTGCAGCTCAGTCTGTCCCTCCCCAGCCCAGGTGCTACCTCTCCTGGTACCTTTGACCCCCTTCCCTGGCAGCCCCAGGCTGCAGCTCCCCACCCTGTCCGGTGGCTCTGCAGTGAGTTGTCCAGTCCTGAACTGCTCTGGAGTGTCCAGGCTGGGCTCCTGCGGCCCTGTGTGAGTCTGGTGCTTCAGAGCCTCACACAGCCCAGTGCTGCAGCTGGATGTGCTGCTTAGGCTGCTTCCATGCTTAGGAACTCTGGATGAGCTGGTGTGTTCCCCTAGAATGGGGCTGCCTGAGGAGACCTCTCAGGAAGACTTTTTTCTTTGCAAAAGTGGGTTTGCTCTCAGCACAACTTCCATTTGCTGCCAGGTGGGTTTATCTCAGGATCACTCTGGTAAGGGGCTGCTCAGTACTTCACACTTCCTCCATGCTATCAACATCCTGGTCAAGGGTACTCCTGATTTTGAATAAACAGAATGAATGATCACAGGGACAAGCAATCCTAAAGCAGTAGTTATTTCTGCAGTCCCTGAGAGCTGAGGCAGCTTTGCTTGGTGACATTAAAACCAGTTTGTCTCAATTGCCGTGTGCTGTCATCCCATTCCTGCTGCCAGGCATCCATCTCCAGAGGGTTTGGTTTTAGACTTTGTTCCTAGTCATTAAGGTTTGTGATGCAGTCTCCAGTCTCTGTGGAGTCCCCAAAATGGCTCTGATTCATGGTGACCTCACATCAGTAACCTGTAGACCATTTTCTGTGTGCTCTGTTGATGTTTTACTCAAAATCCACTGTGGCAAGTCCTGTGCCACAGCAAAGACCCTCAGAGCTGCAGGTGTTTGCCTTGCTGCAGCTGCAGCTGCTCAGGGAACAGCTGCAGGGCTGCTGTGGCTCCTGGCAGGTTCAGTGCTGGCAGCTCACCAGGAACAGGAGCACAGGATCCTGGGGGCTGTGCAAGGAGGTGCCCTGGTCCTCTCCAGTGGTGGCTCTGGCCTGGCTGTCACAGGGTGGTCTGACAGGGGTGCCTGAGGTCCAGGGGGACCCCCTGGCAGCAATGGGGTCTGCTGCCCGCAGAGCTTCTGGCTCCCTGGAATCCTGAGGCAGATGGGACAGCTCCAGGGTGTGGGGGAAGCAGGGACTCAGGGAAAGAACAAGGGTGGGAAATGGACATAAAAGGGGTCAGTGGTGTGTGAAAAGAAATAATGGATCAGCACAGAGTGCTCTTCTTTTCCAGTGGGCTCTTCCTGCCACACAGGGAGAGCTGTGCGTCAGGGAGGAGCTCCCTGCCAGAGCAGCTACAGGTACTGACACAGCCTTTGTCCAAGCTGTGCGTCAGGGAGGAGCTGCCTCTTGACACACCTTGACAGAAGGTGCAGCTCTATGGGTGCCATAGGCAGGTGAGCTCAGGGGCATGCCTGGTACCCCTCTCCCTTGAGCAGACACAGACCTTCTCCAGAGGCTCATGTCTACTCTGTGTGAGACACCTCAGAAGAGTCATCCTGGGGAAACTGGGAGCCACAGGCCAAAACCCTGCAGTGATCCAAGACCACAGGGACAAATGTTCTCCTCCCCACCCCACCTTCCTCACCTCCAGGAAAGAACCAAGGACCAAGACCACACCTGTATTTTCTGATCTTTTAGTTTGAAAAAAGTATCGATTGAAAGTGTACAACTGAGCACAGCGTGGCTGCAGCACCGCCGCCAGATTGTTTCACAAAAAAACCAGAAAGGGCCTTAAATAATCGGGTGCAGATTAAAAAAACCTCAACAGTGAAAAAGTTTTTCCCTCCAAACAGAAATTCACAGGCACAGAAATGGCAACAACCACATGGAGACAATGGGGGGACATCCTCTTCCTCAGCACAGACTCTGCGGTGCAGCGCTCCCGGGCGCGGCTCCGTCCTCGCTCCCTCTTTGGAATGGTTACGGATGAACAGTGCGACATGCCCTTGCTAACCAGACCCGCCCCACCCCCCGACCAGGACACGGACAAACAAGGCCTCTGCTAAGGCTAAAAAAAGGACAAGACCTGGAGTCTTGAGTTCAGCATGGGTAAGAAACGAGAGTCTGGTGAGCACAGCCCAGTCCCCAGGTGGGCCCTGCTACTCCAGTTTGGACTTCTTGGTGCTGTCCCCACCGTTCTCCTCTGCTGGTGCCATTGCCTCCCCTAGTTTCCGCTTCCCACTCTCAGCAGGTGGGTGTGTGTTACGGGGTTTGAAGCTGATAATGATGCAGGTCATGTTATCACAGCCGGTGCCATCCCCGGAGGTGTCTGGAGCCAAGCACTGATCCAGCAGCTGGGAAGGGACAGGGCAAGTCAGCAGAGAGAACAGATACACACTGGAACAGCACCCTGAGGCACTGGGCCCATTCCAGCACCTGACACTGGCTCAGGGGCTGCCAGGCCAGACCCGTGCAGGAGGAGTCAAAGGCTGTTCCCACCGGACAAGGGACAGAGATGGCCTCGGCACCCCCAGGTTTCTGATTGTGGGCAGAAAGTCCTTGGGCTGGACAGCACCCCTGAGGTCAGACACTGGCTGGAGTGCCCAGGGAACCCATCTGAGGGAGTGGGAGGGCAGAGCCAGGCACTGAGCTGGGACACAGAAATGCCACATTGCTGGGGGGACAGCAGAGCTCATCTTACCTCTTCTACAATGGAGGAGAGTGGCCGCAGGACTCCATTCTCATCCTTTTGGGTGATCTTCGACTGGATGAAATCCACCACTTCCTGGCTGCTCATCACGTTCCTGCAGAGCAGAGAGGTCAGGCAGGCAGGGAAAGGGAGCACACATGCCATAGTGTCCAACAGGCCTTCCTCGGGCCCAGCTCTGGAGAAAGCCTGGAGCGGTGATGCCCCAGAGGCACAACGGCTCCCTCACCACTCACCAGATTCCATCACAGGCAATGACCATGAAGTCGTGGTCATCGTTTATTGTCAGCACTTTGATGTCAGGCAAGGCAGAGATCATCTGCTCTTCTGGAGGGAGGTTCTTGTTCCGCTTGTAGAAGTGATCCCCTGTGGTGGGGAGGAAGATGTCTGGGCACAGGCAGTGCTGTGCCCTGCCACAGGGCATTCCCAGTGGGATCAGTGAGTGCTCCCACAACCTGGGATCAGGCTGTGGGCCACGAAGCAGAGGAACCATTGCACGTTCCAGGTGTAAGCTCTGGCAAGCCCAGGGAAGAGGGGTCTTGGCCAGCTCAGCCTCTCTTTACTCCAAACCAAGTGCCCCTTCCCTGGCTCCTGGGGCCAACATCACACAGCACCTCTCACCCCCAAAGAGGCTACGGCTGCCCTATCCCTGGAAGTGTTCAAGGCCAGGCTGGATGGGGCCTGGAACACCCTGCTCCAATGAAGGTGTCCCTGCCCATGGCTGTGGCTGGAATTGGTTGAGCTTTAAGGTCCCTTTTCCCACCCAAACCACTAACCACTCCAGGGTTCATTTTATGATTCAAAGTTCCCTTGAGTAAACTGGCCCCCAGTTTTGACTAGCAGCGTATCAGGAATCATCTTATGAAGGCACTTCTACGGCCACCACAAAATAGCAGGTGGGAATACCAGTGTCTCCCTAGATAAACCCCTTATTTCCACCCTAGTGTTTTATATCTTTACACTAAGATAATGATTTCAGTGGTTTGGGTCCTTCTGTACACACTCTGATAAATAAATGGGCTCAAACTGCCACGAAACCAGGTCCTCAGGAAGCAACACACCAAGATTCCTAAACAACCCAGTAAGCAGGAAAAGTCTTGTTCCAGAGGCAGCAGTCTGGTTTTGGGACAGTTTACGTGAGGTGGTTTCTGACAGCCCAGCTACTAGCATAACAGCCTGGGATGTATCAGATGCTGCTTTCCACTGATGTTCAACTGTTTCACGGCCATTTTCTCCAGTTAGACTGAAATCTCCCATCAAACATTGAAGAGGTTTCACTCATCTCATTAAAAACTGTTCCACAACCTCAGTGGCTGGCAGCGCTGTCAGCCTGGCTCTCCTGAGGCTGGTGCTCCGAGGCCAGGCCTGCCAGCATCCCCCCTCCCTGCTTACCGATGGCCCTGGAGAGGTTGAGGCCGCCGTTCACCCTTCCGTCCATGGTGACCTTGCCACCAGCATTCTTTATCCTGGCCAGCTCCACCTCATCCTCTGGCTTGTGGTCGTAGGACATGTCGACAGCCTTGCCGCCCTCTGACACGACGCAGCGCGAGTCCCCGGCGTTGGCCACGATCAGCTGCTTGCCACGGATGAGCGCCACCACAGCCGTGGTCCCACTGTCTGAGCCAGGCTGCAAGAGACAATTCCGGTGAGATTTCTTCCTCTGTCTCCCTGCGAGGCCATTAAGGGAACCAGTGCTAGCTGCACAGCCCCAGCAGTGTCCCAGATCCCAGGGTGCTGCATCGCACCCCACAAACACACATGGAACAATGGAGACGGCCTGAGGGAAGTGGCAAACACCAGGAGTGTGTTCCCTGCAGGACAGGGTTAGGCAACACCTCCATCCCAGTCTCATGCAGTGTGGTGGGTCAGGATTCTGTGGCGTTCCACAGGTCTGTTCCCTCTGCTCTAATGTGCTAATTCCAACCCCAGCCCAGCTTGAGCACATGCTCACTTCATGTCAGGACATTTCCCCAGAGGGAGAAATTGGCACCTTGGAAGCCATGTCCCCTTTTCCTGACCCCTGGGTCCCTGGCCTGCCTGACTGTGCCATCATGGGCTGAAGAGCGACAGCCCTGCCCAGTGAGGAGCCGTGCTGGAGCAGCAGTGCCAGCAGAGTCCTCCCATTCCTGCCCCACGCTCTCCCCCTGCACTGCCTTCCAAGCACCTCACACCCAGCAGCAGCATCAGCCTCTTCCATCTCAACCCGCCGTCCACATCCAGGCCCATCCCTCAGCTTTTGCACAAACCCAGGCTGTCAGCAGCTCCCTCAGTCCCAGCAGAGTGCACAGGGTATTCTGTCCCCACCTGAACAGGAACAACCCCTAGCTGAGTCTCCCAAGTGCCCCTGGCTCCATGCTAAGCTGCAGAACACATAACCAGGGTGCGCACCTCCTCCTTTCCCTCCATGCCCGGTAACAACATTTCCTCCTCTTCATCCTCATCCTCCTCTGCTTCTTCCGTGTCATCTTCATCATCTTCATTCTCTGCCTCTCCACTGCTGTAACCGTCCTCATCCTCACTACATTCCTATAAGAAATGAGAGATACCAGAGGAGTCACACAGGACCCTTGGTGCTGTCCCCCTGCTGGTCCCTCCATCCTGGGGACCAATGGTCAGTGCCCCCAGAGGTGTGAGGTGACCTGCCATGTGTCCCCCACACTTGATGGCTACAACCAGAGCAGCTGGTGTCACTACAGCAGCAGATGAAGGGATGGTGCATGCAGCAGGACCAGGGGCTATCAGCTATGGCTGCAGGATGAGTGTGTGTCTTCTGGGGTTAGCTCAAGAATCCCAAACATTCCCATGGGATGGCCTGAAAGGATCAGCCTGAAACACCTGCTCCTAGGAACACACCTAGGATGAGCCAGAGGCTCTTCTCAAGTACCACCATAAGCAATGCATTCTGCCCAGCCAGAAGGCCACTCTGTTCCAGTGCTGTTTCCTACCTCACTGTCTTCCTCCTCTTCCTCAACCTCATCTGACTCATCCTCACTGTCCTCAAAAAATTTGGATTTGGTTGTGCGCTGGGGCTTTCCCGTAGAGGAGCAGGAGGGCCCGGCCTCCCCAGTAGAAGAGGTGACGGCCTCGTCACCTTTGCCTAGTTCAGGCTTCTGCAGAGCAGGGCTGTTGCCTCCAGCGCTGGCTTTGTCTGAGGTGGAGGAAATACCCGTGATTTCTTCGTCTGGCTTCCCGTTCTTCCTCTCCTTGTGGTCGGGAAGCTCCCCTGGGTCAGCCTCTCCATTCATATTTGACTCCCCATCATGCTGCTTGCCTGTCCCCTCCACAGCGTTATCCCCAGCTGCAGCTACAGACTTGGCTTTGAGGTTCTTGGTGCAGTTTTGTCCGTAACGTGTGAGAAGCTCCTCGATGGTCATTGTGGCTTCTTCGTGCAGAAGAGCAGCTTCCTCATTATCCACTGCAAATGGAAGAGGGAGAGGACAAGGACAGAGAGGGTGAGAGAACAGGACACTCACCACACTGGGTGCTGTGCTGAGCTGCCCCAGCTGAAGCTGCTGCTGGCAGAGCTCCCCAGGCTGACTCTGAGCACACTCTGAGCTGTGCCCTCCCACAGCTCCAGATGCTACAGGTGAGCAGGAAGGGAACAGCAAGGCCACAGTTGTGACGACAGCACAGCCTGCCAGTGCCCCCTGCCCCAGACCCGGTTCTTCCTGGCCGACTGACAGCACCACAGAGTGTTTACATCAGGCATGAGGGCTGGTGATAGCACAGTGTGCACACCAGGTGTGTGGCCAGGGGGTAGAGCCTCACTTGCCCAAGCACAAGCTCCTTGGGAGCTGCAGAGAAGCAGAGCCACCACTTCCATGTGCAGGTTTGGTCATTAATGCTGCAGCTAGGAACACAAGAACAACTGAAACACCCCAGGGGATCCCCACCAGATGCCATTTGGACAGGTACAACAGGTGAGAACACAACTGTGGCCATCTCCCAAATGGGACTAAGCAGAAAGTGGGATGATTTTCCCCAGTGACCATGGGCCAAACACCACTGCTTCCCTACTGACATCCCCTTGCATATAGTTTGCTTTGCTGTTTAATCCCAAAAACAAAATACAGATAGCCCAAATGCTCCTGAAAATACAGAACAACAAGAAAGAAAACCCAACCACCCACCCACCCTTCATCCCTGTCAGCTGGAGGAAAAAACCCAACAAATTCAGCATTTCCAGATTGACATATTGTTCAAAGTGACAGAATCACCTTGCATGTGTCTCAAGGCTGGTCACATGGTACTCAGCAAAAGCAGTACAGGATTCCACCCTGGGAAACACCTCCTGGGCTGGCAGCCACTTGATGGTGGAACACTTGCTTCTTTGTGGGAAGAAGAATTGCTCAAAACACCAGGATCTGCTTCACTCCTATCTGCACTTGGTGGCTGCCACCAGGGAGAGCTGAGCACTGCACACCACCACATCATTTCCCTTCCATAACTGAGTCCAGCTCAGAATTCCTGACATATCCTGGAACCCTGCAACCCATGGAGGAAGTTCTATAGAAAATGGTGACAGGCTGTTTTGCTATCTGTAGCATTAAGCTTACAAATGGATAAAGGTTCCCCCTCTAGCACCAGCCCAAAGCCACGGACAATGCTAACGGCAGTAGCTCAACTCAGCCAAAATTTAACTGAGAAACTGGGACAGAAAACCTTGTGTCCAAGGAGACTTGACCCTGCTGCTCTACATCCCTGTCCAGGAGCTGCAGCCTTGTCTGTTCAGTGGCATCTAACTTACCATCATCTTCATCAGCAACTTTCTCCTTCTCATCTTCATCGTCCTGTGGCCGCCCAGCCATTTGAGAGAGCTCCTTAATCACCTCCTCTGTGGTGAGCTTGGCATCAATGGCCAAGAATGCATCTTCCAGGGCCTGTGTGTGAACAAAGACATGAGAGGGCAGCTGCCCCCTCCCTACAGGATGCCTGCCTGCCATCCTGTGCAATCCAGTCTCTTCCTGCTTGCACACTTTAACTAATCACAGCATGGCTGCAGCTGGCAGGGACCTACAGGCTTCTCCTGATCCAACACCCTGCTCCAGCAGGGACACCCAGGACTATGCCCAGACAGGTTCTGGATAGCTCCAAGAATGGAGACTCCATCACCTCCCTGGACAACCCACACCCAACTGGGTACTGACACAGGGCTTTCCTTTGTGTTGGCACTTACTCAGTCCAGGGCAGAGTTGGCTCCTTACCTTTTGCAATTGGCCTTCCTTGTAGGCCTTCTGGTCTTTGATGATCTCAGGGAGGTACTTGGCACAGTACAGGGCAACTTCTTCTCCTGAAAAAGAGCAGAATTTATTTAAAGAGGCTCATCCTTCCAGACAGAACCTGCTCTTGAGCAGCTGAATTCCTGAGGTAAATCCTGGGACACAAGCCAGAGCGGCTTCAGACACAGAACAGTGACACAGCAGCTGACTGTGGGGATCCTGCTTACACCTTCCCAGTAGGATGTGCAGACAGCCCTGGCAAACCTCAGAGCTCCAAACCACCAGGTTTGGCCAATGCTGTGAACTTCCTGAGAGGGAGCTTAGGCCAACTCTTTAGGTCCAGCCTACCTGGAAATCTTTAATTTCACATGTCAGTGAAAGCAGAAGGAAAGGGAAGCTTTTGCTCACTGTAGGTTCTATTGGAGCATTACCAATGTGCAGTGAGCACATAAAAAGTGTTCTGTCTCCTCGTGACCGTGCCAGACGAAGGGCAATGAGATCCCAGAGACTGGGATGAAGCTCTCAGGAGATAGGGCAGTCACTTGGTACAGGAAAGAGCACAGCAAGATAAACAGCAGCTGTGCTGAGAGCACAGGGGATAACCAGTACTGAGAGACAGATGACCAAGTCAAGTGCTCACTCTAGAGCAGCTGAGAGATTTTGAAAAGCCAGAAACTCTCCCAGCTTGGTAAGTAATGGTGTCAGGTATGGAACAGGGCAAAGGGGGAATTTGTTTAGATCCTGAAGGTGCTATTAAGAGAGAACGAAGAGTAAACATTGAGGGATGATGAATTTCTGTAGTTTATCTTGAACACGGCAAGAAAGATAAACTAAACTAGTGTGAGTTTTAAGAGATCACACTAGTCATTGAGGTTTTTACATGAGAAAAGAACAGTGTAGGACACTGGAACGTGGACATGGCTCACACCTCACAAAGAAGAAAACTTAGAGCCAGAAACTGAGAAACAAATGAAATTATTGACAGAAAGAGGGAGAGGAGCAGGGCAAGTGCAGGCAGGTGGAGGGTCCCACTGCAGGGTCCAGGAACATCTTTAGGCTGGGCTGGACCAATCATTCCCGTCCCAGTACAAAGAAGTAGCAGTGTGGGTGGCTGGGCACAGCAAGCCAGAGCCTACCCGCACCTGAGGCTTTCCTGTAGGTACAACCAGAGCCACATGGGCTCCTTTTCCTTTGGCTACAGGAGGGTTTTTCACAGGATGGACCAGCCACACAACTCCTGAGCTTCCTACCACACATCCCAACTTCCCTGCCCTTCTCTGAGCCCAACAGAGACTGTGGGGGCAGCTGGGCATCAGGAAGAGCTGTGCAGGCAGGAGCAAAGCTCTGAGAAGGAATGGGGAGCAAGGGAGGCGAGAGAAAAGCAGCAGCCAGCCATCAGTTCAGCAAACGGAACATAGTGGGAAGCAAAGAAGTAGGGAGATCTGGGAGAAAGACAAGGGACTTTTCCAATGTACCTGCAGAGAAGGGATCAAGTGGCCATTGACAGAGAACAGAAACAGCCAAATGGCTGCTGCTACACCATGCTGCAAAACATTCTTTGGTACAGGGAACAAAGAGACTGGGTCTGACCTGGGAACACTGGAGAGGACCTCTGGCAAGGGCCTAGAGTGACAGGACAAGGGGGAATGGCTCCACATTGACAGAGGGCAGTGTTAGAGGGGACATTAGGAAGAAGGTTTTGCCTGTGAGGCTTGTGAGGCCTTGGCCATTCTATGTTTTCTCCAAAAACACCTCTTGGAGGGAGGTGAAAAACTGTTAGTTGTCTCCATGAGAGAACCTGAAGGACAGTGATGTCCTCAGTGCAGAGGCCAAGTGTCAGCGGAGGCTTCAGGGCAGCATTTGAATAACAGATCTCTTGGTCAAACGCTACTAATCACTGCAGAGCCCAGCAAACAGCAGGAACCAACACCAGCCTCCAACAGCTACAGCACAGAAAAGAGCATGGTGCGGGTCAGGTAAACTGATCCTGGGAACATGAGGCAGCACTGTGACCTGCAGCTGCCAACAGACGTGAATCCCCTCTGACGTGCTCTGTCCATTACTGCTCCAACCCCGTGGTGGGTGCCAAAGAAGGACTGCTGTGGCTTAACCCCAGGGGGCAGCTAAGCACCAGCCAGCCACTTGCCCACCTCTCGTGGAACCAGGGAATGGACTGGAAGAGTAAAAGGCAGGAAGCCCTTGAATCGGGAGAAGTTTAAAACAATTTTTTAAACACAGTGAAAAGGCAAATAGCAAAGAGAGAGAAATAAATCTCAAGACACACAAGCAATGTGAGATAGATGTCAATGAAGACACATTATTAAAATAAAGGCTAAAGCACAAGTAGACAGCAATAGGGACTGAGCAAACACTCCCTGCCCCCCACTCAAGGGGCAGAGTGCCCAAATGTCATCCTCCAGAATCTGGAAGCAGGGAGGCCAGAGCACATAAAAAGTGGAGCTGGGGAAGGCAGAAAACTGGCCCAGCAGCATCTTTCAAACACTGGAAGGCTTGTCCACAAGAGAAAAACATAAGAGAAAAACTGATCAATGAAATGGAAAATGCTAATAGGTAAAAAACCCCCCATACCCTTTTTCAAGTAACACAGTAATAAAAACATTTCCCAACCTATCTGGAGCAGGAAACTTATTGGAGTGTTTCAGGGTGAGAGATGAGCAAGGTATACAAGAGAAGCTAAATTTAGTTTCTATACTGCCAGCCAATAAAGCTTAGCAAGGTTCCCACCCAAAAACTTACTATTACATAAGTAAGAGTAATTGCTTCAAACTCAAGAACTAATGCATCAAAAAAAATCACACAATAGCAGGGGATGGGCAAACGCTGTTCTAATTCAGATTCAGCTATATCCATGTCCTTCCTGATATGGTTTGTCCAGGGAGAGCTGTAGAGATTCAATCACTAGACATCTAAAATATGAGTTAGAAACTCATACCAGTGCTTTGCCATCCCATGCCTTTCCTTAATGTCTATCTCAAATCTTCCCTGTTGTATTTAAGAACCCTAAACACAATACTTGGTGTCCTGTACTAACAGGAATGTCATGTGTCCAAAGTCTCTCTAAAACCCAACACATGGTGTAAGACCTTGGCAGCTGAGAAACCAACACCCTGAGCTCAGAGAAGAACAGATGTTTTGATACTCTTCATTCTCGACCCATGCTCCTTATCTTTACTTTTGCCTGACACACACACACTGTTTTGAGGTGAGCAACTCCTGATCCCTACATCCCATTTGCTTGTCATTCCGTGCCTCGCAGCACCAACACATCATGCCCATGTTCTCAAAGATACCCTTCAGGATATCAGTGACTGCTCCACATGGGTCTCTGCACACTCTGAGATGAAGTTCAGGAAAAAAGTCATTTCAGGATATGGAATACATTCTTCAGAGTGAGATGACATCTTTGGAAGAGCTACTTGCTACAAATGCAGCGATGCCAGTCACAAACTGGCCACTGTTACAGAGCCAATGAGCAGGAGGAAACAGGCAGTTCAGTTCATCTGCTGCATACAGATTTTCAAAGAGCTTTCAAACAAACCATCAAACCTTTTCCATACTAAGCTGCCACAAGAAAAGCAGGGAGGTTAGATAGGAGCAGTTTTCAGAATGGGGGATGGCCATTGGGAGAGCTCTTTGAAAAGTTATGCTGTTCAACATCTACATAAATTAGCAGGAAAAGAGGTCAGTAAAACATGATGGATCACTCAGGATGATCAAAACTAAAATAAGTTGCAAGATTTAACAGCAGGACCTTGAGCTCTTACATTATATTGCCAGAGCAAATTCTGTAATAATGTTAGCACTAATATTTAATAGCAATATTCAGTCATACACGCAGAGAGAAGCTTTGGACTCCGCTTGACTGGAAAAAAAAAAAAAAGACACAGAGTCCAAAAAAGTAAAAGGGAAAAGTACTACCAGAGTGATTATTCACTCATTCCTTGTTTAATGGATACTGCAGTGAAATTATCAGGCAGCAGATTTAACCACATATTTTTCAAATTATTCTGTGCAAAAGACACAGTGTAAACAGTCACCAAACACAGAAACCTTCTTAAAATACAATCAGACAAATTTGTGAATGGTTAGCACATCCAGAAGACTCCACCAAGTCTCCAGGATGGAATGACTACAAACTCCAGTTTAAAGAACCCTTACAGGGAATGGATCTGCCTGTTTTGATTTTCCCTCTTTCCTTGGGCAACCACTAGAACACACTGCCTAGAGTCAATCCCAGGTGATTTTTCTTGCCACTTTTTCTTCTGTGACTCTCCTGCCCAGCTTATCCACCATAAAAACAGCCATTCTCAAAAGGTATAAAAGATGGAATACAAATCTGATTTCAATTTCCGATCAAACCCTGACCTTCCTCCTAGGACCCCTACGAGGTTCAGAACCTCTGTTGATGGTATCTATGAAAGAAAATGCTTCCATCCAGGAGCAGAATTCCTAACCACAGATGGATGCCCAGCAGCCCAGAGGGGTCACACTGAAGGACTGGACAGAGCAGAGTGGACGCAGTTACCTCCGTGTCCATCGTAGACAGAGAACATGGCTGTTTCACTGTCCAGCTCAGGAATGCAGTTGTGGGCATCCTGAAAGAGAGAGCAAAGGTCTGAAATGACAGAGATTGCATTAGACCCACGGAAAATCATAGGAATACAAAATTGTTGGGGTTGGAAAAGCCCTCTGAGACCACTGAGCCCAACCAGTGCCCCAGCACTGCCAACCCAAAGTGCTGTCCCGCACCCCCAAAGAGCCACAACCACACTGCTTTTAAACCTTCTAGGGATGGGGACTCCACCCCTGCCCTGGCCAGACTGTGCCAGGGCTGGACAAACCTTTCCATGAAGAAATTTCTCACAATAGTCAACCTGAACCTGCCTTGGCACAGCTTGAGATTGTTTCCTCTTCTTCTGTCCATTGATTCCTGGGAGACAAGTGTGACCCCCTGCAGGCTGCACCCTCCCTCCTCCCCTCAAGGAGCTGCAGAGAGTGAGAAGGTCCTCCTGATCCTCCTTTTCTCCAGGCTGAACCTTCCCCAGCTCCCTCAGCCACTGCTCAGACTCATGCTCCAGACCCCTCCCCAGCTCCTTTCCCATCGCTGGGCAAAGCACAAAGGTCAACACCACCACAAGCCATAAGCAGTGCACAGCCCTTCTCTCCACAAGGTCTCTGTGGAGCAGCCAGCTTTGAGGAAGGCATCCCCGTTATTTTTACAGCCTCAACTCCTTCCCCATGGGCAAGCAAACCCACCTTGGCTATTGCAACACAGAGCCTGGAACAGATGGCCAGGCTGAACCTTTTTCCTAGGACTTTCCTCTGCCCAGCTAACCCCCAGACATTCCTTCAATCCAGCCCTCACCACCTGACATCCCACACTCCTGTGGTCAGGAAGAACATGTATCCTGCAGTATGTTCAACAACGTGATCTTTTCTGTGGTTCATCACCTTCAATGTGCTACAATTGCCACAAAACATTGGGCTTACTCCAAGACAGCAGTCTCAAATATCTGGATGTGTCCTTGCTGCCAGCAACATTCCAAAATTTACACACACAGAACTAGAGCACAGCCCAGCAACCACTGAGCTCTCTCTCTTTTTTTGGGGTACAACTCCTTGGATAAGGTCTCTTTGTTCTCCAGAACTCCAGTTTTCTGGAAAAGAGAACTTTGTTCTTTGCTCAGGAAACAGGAGCAGTGAGGCTCTGGGTTTATGTAGCACTCTTTGCACTGGAACTGCTGGCACTGGGATGAAAAGAGCTTCTGAACCAGCAAGTGACCATCTGAGTTCAAAACGAGTAATGACTGAATGGTAATGCAGGAAATTTCCCCAGCCCTCACTGGAGAGAGCAAATGAAAACAGAGATAAACCAAGAAGCAGCATTTTAGTGCTCACTTTTCTGAGCATTCACAGAAGCCAGTGAGACAGTGAACCCCCAACACAATAACTGGGATAAGCCCCAGGTGACCAAACAGCAGTGTAATGAAAGAGATGCAAATGCTGCTGTGGAGGAAACCCAGCACTGGCACCAAAAATAGTCTGTGCTGCCCTTGCTGAGCCCCCTCTGAGCCTGTCCTGATGTGTCCCCACACTGAGCCCCAGCCCAGGGGCAGATGGGCAGGGGGAGGGCTCAGTTCCCACCCGCCCCAGGGCTCACTCTGTCCTGCTCCCAGCACCAGGGCTGGTGGCTCTGCAGGGCAGAGGCAGGTCCTGGCACTGCCAATGCCACCAGGGCAGTGTGCAGCCCAGCCCTGCTCAGGAGCTGCACTGACTGTCCTCTCACTGTGATCTCATGTGCTGAAGAGCTCACAAGGGCTCCAAACGTCTGCTCCAACTACCCAGCCTTAGGGATCCCTCCCCGGTCACCAGAGTGGTTACTGTAACAGCAGAGAAAAACCGTGTCTGGAACATCAAACACCCAATTCAGCTGAAATGAGCAAGCAAATTAATAAATTAACCTGAGAGCTCATGTAACAAATCTCCACATTTTAAACCAAACTCTTTCAGTTTTTGCAGCAAGGGCTTTTGTTCTAAGCCTGGGAAAGGAATGAAGCTGCACACTGGTGTCTCACTGTGGGGGTACAGGCAAAGCAGGAGCAAAGTTTGGAGAAGCCCCAACCAACCACATCCTGTGCCTCCCACTATATCCCAGAGCACTCCTCTGGACAATAAAACTGACTTCAGCCCTTTTCTTTGTTGCTTCTCATACCTAATACAATTTTTTTTTTTTTTTTGTATCCGTATCCTTGGGGTCCCTCATCTGCCCCAAAGATTTCCTTACTCCCAAAGTAACCACTCTGGACTAAGCTACAGTATTTCTTCAGAGCCCTGTACACCCACCTCACTTGAAGGCTCCCAAAACCCAAGTACAAAGTGACAAAAAGCTCTTTTACACCCAAAATAGCTGTACCTTACCAGGTGCACCCTCTGACTGGCTTCACCAACACACACAGAACCACAGTCTTAAGCACAAATATTTGCTCAGGACTTTCTCAAGCCTTGTAGAAGAGCAAAAGTGCAACTGAACATGAAGAGAATAAAAAAACAAAACAAGATAAGACAGAGAGCAGAACACAGAGTGCTGGAATGCAAGAAAACTGACTGCTCAGCTGTGTGTAAAACACACATTTCTCTCCCATCAGAAGAAGAAGCAATCTGCAGCACATTCAACTCCTGCCATCTGCTTGTTTCTTGGGATAACTCAACTAAACCACATCCACACTGATGGCCTTCGTGCTGCCTCTGCCAGCAGGGATAAACCAGAGATGCTGGGTAGTGCAGAACCCGCATCTGCAGCTTGGGGCCTTGCCCAGTCTCTGCACAGCTGCAGCCCCAAGTGAGGGAACCAGAGCCCTGTCCCAGCTGTGGGAGGGTTGAGTGAACTCACCAGCACCATAAATCAGGGTCACTCTGCTCTCCCTCATCCAGCCTGGCTCCCTCACACATCCCAGCTCGGAGCAAAGGGGATGCCAGAGCTGCTTACACACACGTTAATCCCTTTGAGGTCACACTCAGTGCTCCAGCAATGTCCCTGTGCTCCCAGCTCGGAATAGCTCAGGCACTACCAGCCAGTTCCACTCACGTTCTCTGAGAGACTCTCGGGAGCACAAGCACCAGTTCTGCATCTTCCACCCTGAGGACCAGAGCCCAGGGCTGCACACACAGAGAGGAGGAACCACCTCAGGTCAGCGACTTGTCACCGGTAGGACTGCTGTCGCACTCCAAGAAGCAGTGAAGTGTCTGACAAAATCACTTATGGACCTAGACCAGCAAAACTTCAATGTCTGACAGCCTGAACAAGACATCCTCTCCAAACCACCCACAGCAAACGAAGCAAACTGAGAGATGTATCTGGTGTGGCTGCAGGCACCAGGATTAATCCCTACCCAATCCAGCTGTTTACTGGCTGCCCAGAAGGGAAAACAAAGCAGCACATGACTGGCACTCACAGGGGGTCTGAAGCTCACAGACCTGCAGGGCAGCAGTCCCACACTGCCCTCACACCAACCAAGAGCTCTAAGAGCAGTTCCTGCAGCCTCCTGCACTGGGGAGATGCAGGCAAACCCTGGATCCTCAGCCAGGTGTGGGTCTAGCGGCAGCTCATCTGCCCACAATGAGCCCAGCAAAGCCAGCACTGGCAACAGGAAACTCAGAGCTGCCATGAGAATTCTTCCCACAGATCTTCCTATAAATAAATAAAAACAGGGAGGAAGCACAGCAAGACACTGACACTTCATTTCAGGGGAGAAAATCAGGCAATTTCTCTGAGAACTTCCCACTTGCTTTCACTCAAATGCTCCTTCCCTTCGTTTTTCACCCCGAATTCCTCACTTCTCGCCGGGATTTATCCAGCCGCACGTGTCACCCGCGACACGGGGGGGACTCTCCACGCAGGAGCCGGAACACGCAGCTGCCGTGTGGAAATCGGGAAAGGCTGGAGCGGCACCGGGCGAGGCAAAGTGCCACTCCCGGCCTCGGGAGGGGGTGACCGAGACCCCCGGACCTCCTCGCCGCTCGGCGCCGTCGGGGCCCGCCGGCGCAGGGCCCCGAGGAGCGGCGGCTGCGACCGCCGCCGCCCCGCCGGCCTCACCCCCTCACCTCCATGGAGACGCGCCATCCCTGCATGGCGCTGAACCCGAAGTGCAGCGGGCGCGGCCCGAGCCCGGCGCCGTCCCCGGAGCTCTTCACCGTGTTGGGCTGCGACAAATAGGCGCCCATTGCGGCCGCGGCGGCCTCGGTCGGCGGCGCCCGGACCGGACCGGGGGCGCGGGCGGACTGCGGAGGCGGCGGGACCTCGCACCGGCGGGCGGCGACCGGAAGTCGCGCGGCCGGAAGCTCGGCGGCCGGAAGCGCCGACCATAGAGGCGCGGCCAGAGCGGCACCGCGGCCCGCTCCGCCCCGGGACTACCTACACGGCCCGCGGGTGGCTTCGACCTGCACTGAGGCTCCTCCGGGGGAACAGCGGACTTGGAACCAGCGATGCCGCCGCCAGCCGGTGCCGCGGGCGGCCGCTCGCACAGATAAAGGCGCGCACGCTCACAACTACCACAATTATCGCCCTGCCCCTCTGTATGAAAGGCCCTTGCGCACACAGCACCTTATATAGGCTGAGTCACGCCCTTCCGACCAATCAGCGACCTCGATGTCCCCGTCTTGCTATCTCATTGGTTATTGTACGGGGCTGACCCGCCCTATTCAGGATCCCTCTCGGCCCTTAGCGCAGGGCGCCCCCTGGCGAGCGCCGCGCCGCGGAGCCCCTCCCGCCGGCCATTGGCGGGCGCTGACGCGCCGCGCGCGGCGCTGATTGGCCGCGGCAGAGGCCCCGCCCCGCACGGCGCGTTACGCAGCGCGGCGGTTGCAGCGGGGACGCGCTCGGGACCGGGCGGTGCTGCGGGCCGGTAAGTGCGCGGCTCCCCCCTCGCCCCCCGCCCCGCCCCGGGACCGCCTAGATTGGGCGCCGCTGGCAGGCCCGGGGCGCGGCCCCGGCTGACAGGCCCGGCGGGCGCGGCCCGGTCCGGCCCGGTGGGCCCGGCCCGGCCCGGCCTGGTCTGGTCTGGTCTGGCGCCCCAGCGCGCCTCACGGACTGCGCCTCTCCCGCAGGGTGTGCGACCCCAGCATGTCGGAGGGCGAGTCCAAGCAGGTGCCCAGCAGCGGCTCCGACCCCAAGCCGGAGCCCGCCTCGTCTGGCCCGGGGATGACCTCGGTGTCTGCGCCGGTGACTTCCGCGGCGCCCCCAGAGGAGGAGGAGGAGGAGAGCGAGGACGAGTCCGAGATCCTGGAGGAGTCGCCGTGCGGCCGCTGGCAGAAGCGGCGCGAGGAGGTCAGTGCCGGGAGCCGGTTCCGGAGCTGGGCTGCGGAGATCCCGGGCGGGGCTCGTCCCGCCTCCACCCCACCTTCCGCCGCAGTCCCCTGTCCTCCTGCCGCCTGCTCCTGGGACAGCTAGGCCCCGCAGTGCGGGGCCGTCGCGCTCCGGGGAGGCGGGGAGATGGGTGGCCCATCTCCAGCCTCAGGGCTGCCGTTCTTAGGCCGGAGCGCCCGGGCTGGAGTGCAGCCAGTGGTGCGAACCCTGCCGCGGCCGCTGTGACGGCCGGCTGTTGCTGCTGTAGGGTAGGGGGTGGCTCGGCTCTCCCGGTGTGCATCGCCTTCCACAGATCTTTCTCTCTGGGAGCGGTGGAGAGCGGTGACTGGGCAGTTCTTGGTGTTCTCTGGGGAGTCCATGGTACCTGCTGCCGAGATGGCCAGTGACTCGAGCTAGTTACCGGGCTCCTCAGCTCCCAATGCTCACTTTGCTTTGTTGTCTGCAGCCAGGGTATGGCACAGGCAGCTCACTCAGGCCCGTTCCTTGGCCTGTCCTGCCTGTACCCACCCTCAGTGCGTGTGCTGGCAGCGTGCTGCGTAAAGGCACGAGGAGATTAGATCGTGGTGTTTGGGACCTATCCTTTTTTCTGCTCGTCACTAGGCTCTGTTTTTCTTCCTGGGGGCTGTCTGCACAAACTGGTTTCTGCTCTGTGCTGGCACGGTGCCTCTCCCCTGGCTGGGCAGGCTGTGCAGCCCTGGCAGGTGCTGGCAGCCAGACAATGTGCTGCTCCAGCGCTGCAGCACAAGTGCTGATGGGGCTCTTCTCAGCCAACTCAGGGGCTGAGTGCAGGGGTTTGTCTGCTTTGTCCACCGCTGCAAAAAAGGCAGTGCAAACCCCAGTGGTGGTGAGAGAGTCATTTGTTCTGATGTAAATTTGGAGGTCACAGTAATGTCAGGGATTCCCTGCAGTTCTTCACCTTTGTTTCCTGAGAGCTGTCATGGTTTGAGCCAAACACTGGCATGGTGTGGTCAGATTGTGCCTTTTCTGGTGTGGCTCTGCAGATTGGTTACAAATGTAGCTTTAGCACTAGGAAAAAAGGTTTCCTTTTTCCCTTTTTTAAAGAAGTGTGAATGTCTGTCTCTGTCCTGCACAGTCTATTCCATACCTGAGGTGCTTTACCTCTTGCTCTGCACTGAAGGGGTATACGCTGGAGAACAAAATTGGTTTGTTTGTGTTGTCTCTTCAATGCGTTTTATTTAGTACTGATCATTTTGACACAAAGAGACACAAGGTTTTCTGTGCTCTCCTACATGACAAGTAAGATTTGGGAGGCTCTAGCATTTTCTTTGGATTTGAGTCCCCCCTCAGCAGACAAATTAAATGAATTGAAATTTCGGCATGGCTAAATGATTGTCTTATGGCTTCAGGTTGCCACTGTGAAGGTCAGAGGTCTGTCTGCCACCACAGGCTGAGGGATGGGCATTGGGCCACAGGACACATTATTGTTGAGTGAGCTGGGTGAGCCTTCACTTGGCAAGACTGCACAGACTTGTGTCTGCCTGGAGCAGCCTCAGCTGCAGCTGACCCTGCAGTGAAATCCTGCTGTGTCTCTAGGTTTCGCATGTGAGTTTGTGTCTCAGTGAGTCCCCAGCTTGTGGAGAGGCTTTTGTTCCCTGAACTGCATGATATCAGGCTCTCTTTGCTGTCAGAATCATTTGGGCTGATCTGCTCTCCGGAGTAAACTCTCGCACTGCAGCTTCCTACCCTGAAATGTATTTGCTGTCACAGCTTTGCTGGGTGTCCCAGAGCAGAGTGCCCTTTTTCCTGGGGAGGTGTGACAGCTCAGTCCGTGCTGGTTATTCCTGTCTGTGCAGTGTGTTAGCCGCTCTCAGAGTGATGGTGTTGCTCTGTGGAAAAGGACCTTTCCCCAGTGATGCAATCCCGATCTTTTATTATGGCAGTATCTGCTGGATGTGGGATGAGGTGGCACCGTGGAAACAATGAGACATGATAAACTGGAGAGGAATGGGTGCACACACATGGTTGAGGCAGTATGTTCTGCCTGTGCTATGGTACTTCCTATGTGTGACATTCTTTCCTGCTTGCTCCGAGCGCGTACTCCGGTGTAGGTTTTGAAATATAATGGCCTCGCTTTTTTTTTTTTTTTTTTTTTTTTTTTTTTTTTTTTAAAGATTGTTTTACCATCCATGAGTGATGCACTCGCTGCAGCAGAGGTGGAGCTGTGCAGGCAGGCCCTTGAGCAGGGAGGGGCGGGCTGGCTGTGAGCCGGGGATGTCGGTGCCTGCTGATCGAAACGAGCAGCTTTCGGCGGGACGGTGCCCGCGCCGCCGGTCCCGGAACGGTGGCGGGGGGCAGGACGGCCTGCGCTGGCCGTGCCGTCCCTGCACGCCCTGGCTGCCTGCTCCCGGTTCGGGAAAAGCGGCCTCAGGCCCTCCCTGGCGCCCCGCGGCCCGTCCGGAGCCGGGACCGGGACCGGGACCGGGACAAGAACCGGGACCGGTCCCGGGGCACCGCGGGGTGGGGCCAGGCGGGCGGGGCGGGGCCGCTGCTCGGCCTCGCCAACCAATGGCAGTCGGCGCGGAGCGTTACATCACCGCCGGCGGCTGCCATTGGCTGCGGCCCGCCCTGGCCACGCCCCGAGGCGGCCGCACCCTCGGGCCCGGGCGGGGCTCCGGCAGCGCCGGGACGGGGCCGAGCCGCGGCCGCGAACCAAAATCCGCTGCTTCGCACGGGAAACGCTGCTGGAGCAAGGCTGGGCGGGGGGAGCAGCGGTGCAGCGCAGCCCTGCGGAAAGGGACCAAAGGGATCCGGCTGCTGCTCGCAGCATCTCGGCTGGAGTGAGCATGTGCCCTGGCATGGAGGGCAAACCTCCGTGCGGGAGCAGGATGGGACGGCACAGAGCCCCATCCTGGCTGTTACACACAGCAGGACCAGATGTTCATGAGAGCAGATACTCCCTCTATAGGTCGTCTCCCTGGGATCCAGGGCCAGGACACCAGGGAACAGCTCCAAGCTTCATCTGGGGAGGCTCAGGCTGGACAAGAGAGAGCATTTCCCTACCGAGAAGGGTCACACCTGCCCCAGGCTTCCTGGAGAGGAGGTTGGTGCCCCAGGCGTCTCTGTGTTTGAGGCATTGGACAATGCACAACATGCTGTGACATGGGCCAGCCCTGATTGGGTTGACCAGTGCAACCAGGAAATCTGTGGCGATCCCTTCCAGCTGGCTGTTCTGTATTCTCTATTCTATTCCTGCTTAAATTTCAGAAGTAAAAAAGGATTGAGTGTTGAGTTCATTGATTGTAATTCTTCCTACAAACAGGGAGCTTCTGTAGTGCAAAGAGTGTAATTACTGTGAAAGTTCAGAGTAGTTTTATTAAAATCAAATGCTTCTGTGACATTTTTAACTAGGAACTCTTTTTAACAAGATAGAAAACGCTTATGTTCCTCAAATTCCATTTTTTTGTGGAACATGGAGAAGTACCTGTGGTTCCTGCAGTGTTGTGGACTGTGCTGCTTTATTCCCAGAGCTGAATCTGGCTCTGGAATTGTGCCCACATCTTTGGTTGCTCTCCTGACCAGCACACTGGTGAGGCTTCACAGAGTATCTTGTCCCATGGCTGAAGCACAGGCAAGGCCCCACAGCGTGCGGGTAGGGTGGTCCCAGGGCTGGTGGGATCTCCCAGCCTGTGCTCGCCTGGCTCTCTTCTGCTTGCTCTCTCTGAAAAACCAACCCCTCTGTTTCTGCTGCCCTGCTGTAACATGACATTTCCATTTCCTTCTTGCAGGCAGCATGCATGCATAACTTACTGTTCTTGGGTTGTCCAAGTATCTTGAGAATTATCTGCTGTGCCTCCTAGGAATAGAAACTTCCTAATAGAGCAGGATTGCAGCACCACATTAGCAGGTCAGGTTTAGCCTCCTGAAGCTGGCTGGTGGTGACCCTGAAACTGAGAGCTTAGTGCCTGCTGTCCCTGCTGGAAGCTACATGGATGACACATAACTGTAGAAAGAGTTGTGCA